TTCGAAAAGTTTGTTTGTTTACACCGACCTCCTCCTATTTCGCAGCCCACTAGCGCCCGTGTGCACCGCCGGCCGGTTGGGTTGCCTACCTACAGGCGCGAAATTCCAGAAGGTAAATTTGGCTCTGGCACCCTTATTTTAGATTTCCGACCCCAAGTGTCCTATATCAAAATACTCCCCTACGCACCACCTACACGCTCCCAAACGGTGGCAGGTACTATAGGAATCACCCTGTATGTATGTACATACATGCATATTTGTTTATACATACGTACATACATACTTATTATGTATACATATTATAATTTGAAATATAAACATAATTTTCTTTGTAATTAGGGTACAATGATTTATTTATACCTAGAAAACAGCTAGTACATAGTTGTATAGTAAAATAAAACTATGTATTGAAATATTAATCCAGCTATCCGGACACCTCGCTAATCCGGCGCTGCTTGGAACGATATGTGTCCGGATTATCGAAGTTGTACTGTAGTAAAATCAAAATTTAAAAATATATACTCGCTTAAGATATCGCGGAAAATAAAAAAAATACCAATTTTAAAATGACTGTATATTTTCGTAGAAAAATTACAATATTATAAAAGTTAGGATTTATAATGATTGCTGAATAATCTGCCGTTTTCAAAACAAATATAGGAGATCAGGTAAAACCGAGAGTAAAACAGTTATCACTATCCTCATTTTTTAATTGAACACTGTGTATATATTAATCTAAAAAGAAATCATATTAAATTCTCTTTTCAAAAGATTCAAATAAAACATTAAAAGGTACAAAAAATGAACAAATGATACAAAATACAAATAAAATTTCTAAAAGAATGTTGAATTAAAAAAAATCTTTTTTTAATCTTTTGGAATATTGAATGCTTTTAGTGTTAGGTATATAGTATTTATTTGCTATCTTTTTAGATTAACATAAACAGGGTGTTCCATTTAAAAAAAAAAGGTTAGATCAGATAACTTTTTTACCTGACCCCATATCTCTTTTATTTAATAAAATCTCGAAGAAAATATAGGATCATTTTGAAATTGACATTTTTTTGTTTCCTCCCGTATCGCTTATCGAGCGAATATTTTCAAATTATGATTTTCTACATTAATTCTTTGATAGCACTAACAATCCTGGCGATACTCGATTAACTTGTCAAAAATGAGACACCTTGTATACTTTTACCGAGACTTTTACATAAATACAAGATGAATTTCAAAATCAATTTTCATTCATTTCTCAACAAACCCTCCACGGATAACTAGATCTTTCTGAATCAACATGGCTATGATGGCAACGCATTCAAAGGAATTTCTCTCGGAATTTCTCTTTTTGTCCTCTGATTCAGTAAAAATCCAATAGAATGGACGCCATAAGAAATAAAAAGTAGTATCCTGTAGAAATTCTGACAACAAATTCAGAATCTCGAGATAAAAAGTGCCTTTAGACGGCGCTAAAATTTTTCAAAAATTTGAAATGCGTTTTTTTTAATCACAAAAAGGGACAACTTTGCCGCCATTGGTGGTGAGCCAACAATTTAAACAACGCTGACCAATGTCCTGTACCTAAAGAAACAACTGAATCCTGTCTCCTAATTATCTGACTATTGTTCATTTTTAAACTGCAAAATAAGAATAAGACCCCCTCACATGCCTTCACCAACCTAATCGTCAATCGGATACTATGGTGACCCTGTATTTTTCTATTTTAATTTTATTGCAGTTTGTACCCACTCACTCAGAGTAGGACCTTCGAGCCTTGTTGCAACTTAATGCAACCTCATTATAAACAAGCTGCTCTATGGGAAAATGCATCTTATTTAAATATTACAACAATGTACTTTCTGGTTTTCCCTACTTACGTCAGACAGAAAAAATTAAAAACAAATTAATGCAGCCCATACATAATCTTTATTCACATTGAACTGATTACTGATTAGGTACCTTTTTTCCAAATAATATACAATCTATTCTAATGTAAGTTGATTTTCTTAACGACTCAGTTGATGTAAACATTTAAAATCTCTATACAACTTGCATACAGGATGTGTCAACTTCCATTGTACAAACTGTGACCAATCAAATTTTCTTTCTGTTAACTGTGAAATGGATCACTACTCTGGTCTGGAAGTATGAATGACATGGTTTGTTAAAGTGGACGTTCTGATTTAATAATATAAGTATTTGCAGTGGTCAAAATGCATGAATAAAATTCTCAATTACCTTATCACATTGTTCTTCTAAATAGACAACTCTTTCAAGCTGAACGAACACCTCATCTTCTTTCTCTTTCACAAGGGATTCGTTTGATTCTAACCGTTTTGCTAAATTTTCCCTTTGCTGAAGAAGATCGTCCCTTTCCATCTACAATGCGAGTTAAATGACCGACCATTTCAATTTCGAAATTATTACCTTCACTTCATGATACTTTTCCTCCAAATAGTAAGCAATATTTCTAGCTTCCTCATACTTTTGCGCAAGATGTAAATACTTATCGTAATGTTTCTTAAAAAGTACAAACCTGAAAGACTTCTTATCGTAATCAGCGATGATAATCTACGAGTGCTCACCGATAAAAATCATTTTCACTAACTATATCTCTAATGCTATCTTCTGGATCGACCTTATCATATACGGGCACTCGTCGTCTATGCCGATGGGGTAATGTCATAACATCAGGCTTATCTAAAAAGTTACCTTCCGTCGGGGACATACAACCGGCGGAATCGAGAAGATTCTCCGAATGACCGTGGCAAATTTCGCCGACCATCGGCACATCGGTCGTTTGTAGCACTAACTCGTCACTTTTGCTACTTTTTAAGTCATAAAGTTCGTCCGCTCTGGCACTTTTATTACTTGTACGATATGTATCTAAAAACGATCTCGGAAAGGTATCACCTCGCGAAACTAATAACTCGGTCATCTTTCCGCAAACGATGCATTCATTCACGGATCCAATTTACGTACTTTTAACCTTCCGAAACTGGAAAACACAAACAAAAAACTTCACACCTTATCATCGATATAAATAAATAGCGTCAATTACGGGAGGAATCCGTACAAGAAATGTCAAAACGAGACTGCCGAAAACGAAACCACCTCAAGGCCGAATTCGCTTATCTCTATCTCACATCAACGTGTAGTGTAGATAAGGATGGAATACAAACGTACATCTGTGCCGTGTATTTATCAATCAACCTTATTTATCCCTTCCAAAAATTGTGAAGGTCGTTCTTATTTTGGTAACATTTTTAGTTTACCCTAATATAACTTCATCATTTAGATTGAAAATTTTAGAAATAGTAAATCAAAGCCGTAAAGAGAAGATAATTAATAAACTCAGCGACTATTTATTACTGCTTGTTCAATTAAACAGGTGGTTGTGGAAGCAAAATATCAGTTTCTTGCCTTTCGAATAGCTAGGCAACCAACCATACTCAACGATGATTATTGTGGTGTGTACGCAGAGATAAAGATGCTGGAATGGTTCCACCAAAGAAGTATTCTTTTATTTGCTTTGGTTCCACTTTAGACTTTGACATTGAATAAGAAGTGTAACTCTCGTGTTAACTGATGAAATAAGAAAATCTGCCCAGGATTCTGTCGTCCCTCTGTTGTGGGGGAAAGTGAACCACAAATTTAAAGCTAGTTACCGACTTTGCAGATTTCTTTACTTCTTTAAAATTCCAACGTTGCCAGATTTTTGGCAAGCGCTGTGAGTTTGAATAAACTAGATTAAAAAATTTAATAAGCTTTTATTCAATGTCAATTGCCAATAACAATATTATGTAAGGGAGGATCAATCTGAAATGTAAGATCTTAAGGAACAATAAATAAAGTAAAAAATGTAGTTTACGAAAACAACAAGAAATGTTCTAAGGACCATTATCTTTACATAATAAATAATCAAACTTTACCTAGCTCCATATAAGGATCTGGTAATTTTAGGCGCATTAATGATCTCTGTAATCAATTTCAGATTTAATGTTAGAATGTGGACTTTCATTATAAGTAATTACTAATTAGGTAGGGTGGTACCATTGAATAAGCACCTTAAAGAAGTATAACCATTGAATAAGCACCTTATTCAATGGTCCAGGCTATATAACATTTTTTGACAAAAAAAATTAGTTACCGGTTCGAACCGGGTTTTTCATGCAGGTGAAATGATTAGACATTAGGGAAAAATAATTAAAACAGCTGAATTTTTCCGCGAATGAAATCCCGGGGGTTGAAAGGGGTGGAAAGTAGTGTTTTTTAATTTGTGGCAAAACTACTAAGTTTAGGCTAAAATGTTCAATATAATTTCCGCGAATGAAATCCCGGGGGTTGAAAGGGGTGGAAAGTAGTGTTTTGCAATTTGTGGCAAAACTACTAATTTTAGGCTAAAATGTTCAATATAAAAGTTATAGAGAATAAAAAATCAACGACTTTTGTATCTGCACTATTTTCACATAACCTCCAAATTGCACAAAACTTTAAAATGGATTTCGAAGGATCTTAAGTCAAACGTGACGTATAAAAGGAAGATCACTAACATCAATAATAAATAATTCAATTTCAATGTTATTATGTATTATGTAATTATGCAACAAACTACATAGATAATAAAAAGAATTGATGCAAATTACTAATTACATTCGCTTCAATAAAACGGACTAGGTACCGAAATACTCGGTGCAAAAACATAAAATAAAATAAAGCTACTTTTCGATATAACAATGAAAAATATGACAACACTGTTCAACTTTGATAAACAAGGAAAACAAAGGTCACCTAAGTATAACTGGTTTCCCTGTTTAAAATAGTCATTATTTACCGCCCGAGGCCAAATATCCTTCAATTTTTGTGGTAATTAACCACTTTGCAGTGTATGCAACACACCTTACACCAATTTCAGGTTTTCCTATGTAGTTATACTTCTTTAAGGTGCTTATTCAATGACTGATAAACCGTAAGGATCGATATAGTGAAACAGGTGATTGTGCATTCTAATGAGTAATGGCATATATGTATGTGTCACTTTTATTTCAAATGCGACGCGAAGCACGATATAAACTGACGTTCAGAACATATGACCAGGTTGTTGCTATGGAAACGACCGCGACGGCAGAACCTAAGTTTGCTATTTTTGATGTCTAAATTAAATTCAGAATTGGCATAAGCTTTACAATGATTTATATGGCTTCTTCTATAACATAAAGATTTGTATTATACACGACGATAAAGAGAAACGAACCATCTCGTGAAAGTTAACTCACTATCGGGGCTGCGCCGTTCGTCAATTAACATCTTTCACTCGATGGTTAAAATATCCCTTTATCGTCTTTTATAACAAATAGCTATTATTGTTTTCATTCCAATATTTTGAAAGAGATGGGGTAAGGATCTCGTGCTTACCGATATTTTTTCCCGGCCCTAGCCTAATTTAATGCAACCAAAGTAACATCTTAAAACAAATAAAGATCTGCCATTTGCTTTGGCTTTCGTATCGTTATTTCCATTCGTGTGCGAATGTATTCAACTAAAGAAAAAGTTGATATTGTCAATTGGTATAGTGCCTGTAAAAGATTTATTTTCTGTGAAGCCAAAGTAACAATATTCGAATTAATTAATATGCCAACCCGAACTTTATTGTTTTAAGCAGTTATTTTGGATGCATTAAATTAGGCCCCCTTCAAAAGAGATTTTGTCTACTTCTTAATAAATATTATACTGTATATTTAAAATATGTTCTATGTCGGCATATTGCAAATACAATTCTTATACTTTATGGTCTATTTTTTGTCCTCCTAAAAGAAATATGTATATATCCATCAGGGGTAAAATTGCTTGCTACTTAAGTATAACGTCTCGTCCTAGCCATAGGATCTGTGTCCCAATGTCCGCGTTCCAATGTCCTCGTTCCAATATCTGCGTCCCAATGGCGTCCTCTGCTGCCCTTGTTTTTGTTTTATGGGCTTATCAGGCCGTGGCTGAGATATTCTTTGTACGCAATCAACATAATTACAAAGCGCCAAACTTCAGAAGCAGGAAAATGTGTACCTGCTTGTTCTTTTGAATTTTTATTTTTTTAACGGCCGGTTGCAGGAAAGCGAATTATAATCAAAATCCTGGATTATTTGTCAAATCTGAGTTTAAACAAGAATTTTGACATTTGATTGGCTGCCTACTGCAATATAAAGCCAATCAAATGTCTTAATGCCGGATTAAACAATAATCCTGGATTTTTTTGTGCAACTGGCCGTAAACTTTCCACTTTCGAAAGTATTTTTCATAAAAACGAGTTTAGACCAAAGTTTCATTCTGTGGCGCATGATTAGTGCATAAGTATCTCGCTATTAATAACTTCCTTTTACCTTGTTTTAAAAATGAAATAAATAATTAAAATAAAAATTTAATTTTTACCAGATTCTTCTAACATTTGTGACCATTGATGGGACAGCCTGTATATGATTCATTTCGTTCGCGTTCGTATATGATCGTGTACTAACTGTACACGAAAACGTAACCTAATTTGATTTTAATTAAATCGTAACGCTGGCTAGATTTTTAAAACATTCACATTTTGCTATTTTACCGTTTAACAATTACAAAAGAAATGAGTGTAATTACGTGTGTTGCTCCTGTAAATATAGCGGTGATTAAGTATTGTAAGTACAATCGGGTAATTTTGTCAACTGTAATTAAATTGTGCAGGGGGCAAACGAAATGAGGAACTAATTCTACCCCTGAATGATTCAATCAGTGCAACCCTTAATGTGGAATATGTAAGGTATCTCCTTTAGTTTCGAGAAACATCAGTTATTAACTGTAATTATTAGATGCGTGCGAAAACTACAGTTATGGCGAGTCCCACTTTTAAAGAGAACAAAATCTGGTTAAACGGCAAGGAGGAGAGTTTTGAAAATCCGAGGTTACAGCATTGTATGAAAGAACGTACGTAAAACAAAATCTGCATAACAATTAGATTTTATCTCGACTGTAACAGTGAAGCAACGAGCACGAAAGAATACCGATGTTGTTAATTGGAACATACACGTGTGCTCAGAAAACAATTTTCCTACGGCGGCTGGCTTGGCGTCATCGGCTGCAGGATACGCATGCTTCGTTTACGCAATTGCACAGCTTTACGGGGTAGAAGGTGATATCACAGCCATCGCACGGAGAGGGTCCGGAAGCGCTTGTAGGAGCATCTATGGGGGATGGGTAGGTACAAAGTTCAGAGTTTGTAACTAACGCAAGTTATCTTTTATGAAACATTCAGTTTAATCTCATAAATCGTAATGAATAGGAATAATTATTGTGCGAGTTAGATTAAACATGACCTTGTATGCTATGTCAATAGATTTAATATTATTCATACAATGTAGGCAGTGAGCTTGTGACCACCCAAAATAGTACTCAATTCCTCTTTGGCCCCACATGGAAGAATTTCACAAATTGCATGTTAGTGGATTTCTTTTATAAAAATGTGAAGTAAAATTGATTGGTGGCCATGGGCCTCGAGCTTTTGGTCTATATTACTATATTACTGTAGTCTATATCACATTACCGCGAAACAAGTGGCAGTTGTATTAACAATTTTTCATTGTTTTTGCGCCAATTTAGATGTGAAAATAAAAATTGTGTCTCCTGTACCTATTACTTACTTTTTGACAAGGTAATATTCTAAGTTGAAAAAATAAGTGATACAAAAATTCCTTCGCTACTTGCTTAATAGTGGAATTAATAACACATTGATTGACACATTTTTTTCCAGGCCTAAATTGCTGTAAAAAGACATTGTTGATATAGTCGCCGCGGTAAAATAAACTTGTGATAATCCCCTATATTAAAACACACAAGTAATATTTACACATAGTTATCGTATCTCATCCATGCATTTAAGTAAACAAGATATGAAGAATTGCATTCGATTTTCAGGAGGGGAATTTTTCAATGTAATCTATGTGTAAATTGAAATTCAATACATCAAAGGTTATTCAAAACATACGACTTCATTAGGTCACCACATTGTTGTCGAGAGTCGAGATATTCAAATTCAAATTTGCACACATGCACCTAGCAAAAAACTTTGATCTTCACTTGTGACTACTCTGTTACTACCCTTTGCTCTCCATAGTATATCATATCTCCGTTGCTAGTAATCCGGTCCAGTCGAATGTTGTACCGTTGGATGCGTCTCAGGAAGACCTATCATTTTCCCTTTGTGAGTACCGCCTTCCGACACTCCGTTCTCAAAAGATATTCGCATATGAAGTTTTGTCCCTACCAGCGGATGTGTCTCGTCCAGACTTCCCAATTTCTCTTGGTGAGCAACCCTATTTCAAAACGCTGTCCTCAAAATATATCATATCTCTGTTACTAGTGATCAGGTATGGTCGAATGAAGTTTTGATCAAATGCTTTCATTGTGACTATGCAACCAATAACAGATTCCATTTTAAGAGACATCTGTTATGACACAAAGACTCCCAAGAATTGAAAATGTGCAGAGTGTAATTATGCAACCCATAACAAACATCAAACAATGAGCTGAACATATAATAATTCTTGTGCTGCAAACCGTCACATGTCAATATTCATTATCTAATAATATTTTAAGTAATAAATTAATGTAAAAACAGTCTAAATCTAAAGCTTCCTATACGAGGTGCGTTCGTTTATGCGTTTATACACCAGAAAAAGTGTTTACACCGTATTTTTTTTATTACAAAACAGAAATTGATTTCTTATTGTATAATCCACCAGCGGTGCACAGAAAAATTCATGAATAGACAACGAAAAATAACCCCCGAAAAAACAACACCCTTTGTAGATTCTCACTACCCTTGACGGAACACCGCAGATCCGCAATAGCATTCTAACACACGAGACTACGAAAAATTTAAAATGTGACTAGTGTTACTATGCAACGAATGATGAATGTGAATCTATTTATTAACATATAAGATCACCAAGGATTTAAAATGTGACCGGTGTGATTTTGTTCCCAAGTACAAATTCAATTTTAAAACACGTTTGTTAAACACAACACCACTAATAATTTCAAATGCGTCTGGTATGAACTGAAGTGCAGTGCGCATGATCGGTATTCTACTGTGGGTTATCCCACACATGTTGGCACAGATTAGTGACTGTAAACTTATTTAAGTTTAATTCAACCTTCAAGTTTGATAACATTTTATTCCAATAAAAAAATAATTGGAAATTATGGCAAGCTGTCAGTTTCACATAATGAAAAACTTGGTTCTTGGTTCTGCGAACATGTTTCACTGTTCTTGTACCTGACAATATTTGTGTTTTTTATTGTCTCTTGCTGTTTTTATAAACTGGCTATAATTTCGTTGTTTTTTCGTAGGGCCATTCGGACTACGTCCTAAAAAATGGTAATAGTGATGAATACATTATCTACACTCTTCCGCCTTTCTCGTTTTCAATACCGTATTAAATGGCTTTTGTTTTTAAATCGCAATTTTGATAAAATGTTTTAGCGTATTTTCCTCAAAGCGAAAAATCGCTATTGGCTGCACTTTGGCGTCCGTCCGTCTGTCTGTCACACGTACTCCTTCTAAACCACTGAACCGATTTTGGCCATATAGGGCCATTTGAAAGGGCTTGGTCCAAGGATTCCGTGCATACCCATATTTTTTGGTTTTGCGCATGCGCAGTGTCCAAAATTTGGTTTAACGCATGTGCAATGCTAACTTTTTTATTTATGAAGATATTTAAATGAAATTTTATACATAGGCACTTGGAATACAACCAAAATTAACACCAGTTTGAAAATTTGGTTTTGCGCATGGGCAATGGCATCTTTCTTATTTATGAAAGCACTTAAATGAAATATCATATCTAGGCACCTTGAATGAAACTAAAACTAATACCGGTTTCAAAATTACTGTTAACGCATGCTGGTAGGTTTTATTTATGAAGGTATGCAATACAATTTCTAATGTTGACAATGCGAAAGCATTAAAAAGCGTTTCGTGAAGAGAGTGGGACAGCGTTAACTATTAGGAGGAAAATACGCTCTCGTCATTTATGTTTGCATAAGGACTTTTTATTAGATTAGGACAAGTCGTAAATCTTTGATTAAGATCCTTAATGGATTTGTAACCATTGCAAAGAACACTATCTAAGCTACATATACCTCCTTTTTTCAAAACTAGAACAACCGGATTGATATCTGTATAGTTTCATTCCACTTTGTTAGTTAATTGAAATTTAGAGGGGTTAAGTGGAAGAGCAGATGTGTGGTCATGTACCCCATTGTATGCTGCCACCATTTTGTTCTCTATTTTTTTTGTATATATTCTATGTACTGTCCAATAAGACATTAGTTTTATTATTATTATGGTCGGTGTTTCTTGTCAGAACTCAGGTCTAGCCTGGTTAACTAATCGTACGGTTTAAAATCAAGTAACGATAGTGTCTGTGTCTGTACGTCGCTCGTCTGGTCAAGTTTTGTAGAGTCCTAAATTTTATAATTTTATAAATAACAGTAATTAATTTTAAAAAGAAAACCACACATTAAACAAATATAGGAATAGTATGTAATTTATACTTAACAAAATAGCTATTATTATTATTATTATTTAAAAAAATTCTATTATTAAGAGGTACCAAAGAGGGCGTTTCCTGATGAATACCGGCTTCGAGAAAGAGATCTCGGAATATTTTGCAAATTTGACAGTAGTCATACGTAGTTATATGAAAGTGTTTTAATTGTCATGAAGCTGGACACTTTGCAAAACAATGCCCGAAGAAACCAAGTAGTGCACAATCTTCGCCTTGGTGCAATTTACGAATGTCGAGTGTAACTGGGAGCGGTTTGTAAACATAAAGTTATTCTATCAGGTTTCTAAGTGAAATTGTACTAATTTGAAAGTGAATTGAGGTTATCCTGCCGTTTCTGAGGCTTGAAAATATAACCCCTTAATCCTATCCTACCTGAAAGGCATTTTTCTTAAGAACTCGAGAGCACGCAATTAACTTAATTTTCGAATTACAAATAAAGATCACAATTTATCATTCATATTCTAGCGCACTTTCACAACAACTCGCCGACATTTTCTTACGTCGATTACGCGCTACTATTCGTGTTATAAATAATTACACTGACCACAAATTAAAAAACAGGTATTTTTCGTTGTGATGTCATTAAGCGTATAATGGAACAATTCTCAAATCCAAGATTTATTCCCATTAACATTCTTATAGCTTTGCTTCTCAAATAGAAGAACAAGTGATGCATAAACTCGAAGTATTTGCCACGTCTCTTCTCGCTTTCATTTTTCGGTCTCCCATGTAGGATTACTACTTACTTACTGGTTACGAAGTTGTTGGGATTGATGCTTCTAAACAATTGCTCCATAGTACTTACCTGCAGAGTGAACTAATATTCCTGTGACATTCTTGACTATAGGATGAAAGTTTCATCTAACATTTTCGAAGACTTTGATGGATCTTATTAGGACTTTTTCTTTGCGACGCTGTTCAGATTTTTTGAGAATCACTGGGAAACCTCTTGAATGTGAATAGTAGGACGAGGTTTCGAAACATGGGCATCCACTAATCTCAGTTTGTGGACATTTGATTTAATTATATGTAGGTCTATAAATTCTAACTTTATGTAATCAACAAACCTGAAAAGTAAATATTATCATCCAGAATGCATGGAGACTCTTAACACAAATATTTGTATTTAAGGTCCAATGGCACGTCGGAAAGTCGGATGACGGTTCCGATTCGTTTGCTACGCAAATTGCTGGAGTTTCGCATTGGCCAGAAATGCGGATCCTCACTTTGGTAGTGAATAGTAGCCGCAAAAAGTGCAGTTCAACAGATGGTATGAGGCGGAGCATCGCCACATCGTCATTGCTAAAGTACCGTGTCGACCATGTGGTTAAAGACAGAGTTGAAGGTATAATTAGGGCGATAAAAGAAAAGGACTTTAAAGCTTTTGCTGAAATTACCATGAAAGACTCGAATCAATTCCATGCCATTTGCTCGGATACATATCCGCCACTTTCGTATGTTAATGAGGTCTCTAGGAGGATTATTGAATTAATCCATGCTTATAATGAGCTGCGTGGTACAACTAAGGTCAGAAGAGACAATGAATTTCTAATGTTGGCAATCTGTTTTTGTAGGTTGCATACACTTTTGACGCTGGACCAAACGCGTGTTTATACTTGTTAGAAGAGGACGTACCCGAAGTTGTGGCGCTAATTCAATATGTGTTCCCTTCAGATACTGAACGTGTGGAATACTTCAAGGGCTTACCCATAAACCCTGGATCTTTATCAGATGTAAGTTATTAGTCGAATCCGAGATCCATTGTTAAGAAGGTGTTTTGACAGGAACTCAAAGTAAAGATTGATATTCCTAAACAAAAACCGGGTTCGATCAAGTATATAATTTACACAGATGTAGGCGAAGGGGCTCGAGTTCTTAATGATGACAATGAGCATTTGCTTAACGATTGTGGAAACCCGAAACGGTTAAATTGAGGTATATATTTGTTTTTATGTATTTATTGGGAATATGGGCTTAATAAATGTGGTTGGAGTTATTCTTACCTTGCCCTCATTTCACCAAGACAAAAAAGGCCAGGACGGACCTTCATTTGATAATAGAACCTGGCATAACGCACACAAATACAAAAAATAAATCAACTATGGCAACAAAATGTAAGAGAAATGCATAAATTAAACATCTCAAATCGTACAATAAAAATCAGATATCAAGTCAAATGCAGTTAAACAAATTAAACGAGATAAATGTGACATAATCAATTTAGTACAAAAACACATTTACAGTTAAATTTAGGCAAAACAAAACAACCTGTACATTGATAAATTGCATGTACATAAAAAACATCACAATGGTATCGCTCTACTACAGTGTACGCCTAATAGTTGTATGGTATGGTATACAAGCAAGAAAAATGACAAAATTGTGAAAATGTACTTTACTTTAAACACGCCAACCCAGATATAATTCGCACTATAGCGAAAAATTACAACTAAGCAAATAACTTTTTGTTATATGCAGCGCAAACACGAAAATTGAATTATAGAATTAAAACAAATTCAACTGCCCTGACTGAATGCAGAAAGCAAATAAGCCACGCTACATTTTACCATGAACCTTTATGAGATGAACAAAATGCAAAAACAGCAAACTACGGTGCCCGTAGCTTAAAATTTGAAATCGGACATCTCAATAGTAGTGTGATTCTTTCCGATGCAAGGTGTGCTGCCTAACAGTATAGGGGTATGTCTCCACAACTGAGATTCATGTTACATAAAATAGTTTAGAGTGACTAATACCGAAAAGAAAGATAATCAAATCAAAAACAGTACAGAGTGCGAAGAAAGCAATAGTTGAAACTACTGCTGAAGAAAAGGACGGCAGAAAAAGAAGTTGCATTTAAACCCAATGAATAGGTATGTTTACGGAAAATAATAATGTACTTGTTTTTTGTTTTGAAAACAACTGAAACCGAAAATTATTGAAACATATAATTCTACTTAAGTAGTGCGGAACCCGAACTGGTGCGACCAATGGAGTTGCGTGCGCTCATCGACATTGGCCTCCAAAACATGCACATTTTAAACACAACCGCCTATGATGGGCTATGTTTAAATGCCAAAAGTGAAATCATATACGAAAACGGGTGCTTTGTTACAGTTTTTGGCGTCAGTAGCATTATTTTTTTGCTCCCAGCTACGTGTAACAAATGGTCGCTCTCGGTTTTAAAGATGTTTGTTGGTCAAATTTACAAAATTGTTGGTATATGGCGTTTTATACTGCTTCATAATGAAGGAGAGCAGATCTTGTATTCGAGAAAATGGGGCGCGTTGGGATGAGTCGAAACGTTACAGCGTTGTCAGCTCTAAAGCATGACGGGATTCAACTCGGCTATACCTTGGCGTGTTTAAAAAACCGCGAGGACGTGTTGGGTCCGCTTCGAATTTGGATTCTTTAAGTGAAAATTTGGTGGGAGAGATTGATTCTAACCATGCCGGTCGAGCCCTACCTTTTTCGACAGCGTATTGATTTTTTACCGACTCGATTGTGCAAATTTGCACATTGTGAACGTGAAAGATTTAATAGATCGCGCCCATTTCATTACTAATTCAAGGTTTGAACCGAAAGTCACATAACCAGTGTGTGAGGAATTGTTGTAGTTACAACCGGAGACAATGCCCCCATTTTTAACAAAACAAAACGAGATTCAAAAATTACATGCAGTTTATTTATTTATTTACGTTTATTGATCTCATACACGAAAACAAAAGTAAGAGATACGTCGATTAAATTATTGGAAAAAGCTAGCTATTGATACAGAAAATCAGATATATTATAGTAACAATTTTGGATTAACATGTGCTTTAATCTATCTTTGAAACTCGCTTTTGTTGGTGCGTCTATTATCTCCTTGGGCAGTTTGTTATAGATCCTAATCGTCATACACTTAAAACTGGCATCAGTCAGCCTTAATCGATGTTGTGGTAATAGTAACTTCTTGCCGAATCTTGTACATCTCCCGTGAATGGCTAGGTTTGTACGAAATTTGTTGAGGTTCCCTTTGACATAGTTAGCCGCCTCATATATATACAGAGAGGGTAATGTCATTATGCATAGCACTTGAAATAATGGTTTGCAGGATACCCCACTTTTGGCACCCACCAAGCATCTTATAATTTGTTTTTGACTAACAAAGACACCCTTTGCATAGTTTGAGTTACCCCATAGCAGTATACCATATTGCAGCGTGGACTGAACTTCAGCATAGTAAAAACTCTTAAGAGTGCTGATATATAAGCAGGTACGAAGAAACCTGACCTGGTAGCAGACAGAGCTTAATTTATTTATAATATTATTGCAGTGGCTTTCCCATGTTGTAGAACTGTCTACATGAATTCCTAGAAATTTTGCGTTGGTCACTTGGTGTATGATATTATTGTTAAGTCAATCTGGGAACACACTGTATAATGTACACAGGACTATTATAGTAATTTAGAATAAATATTTCTCTTCGGATGTCCTTTCCAATTCCCACATTAAACAATCCATAACAGTGAATAAGAAAATTTGCACAATGGCACTGTTTGTGTTTCATTTCGACCCATAAAGGGGTAAGTTTAAAATTATAACTGCATACAAGGTGATAATTTAAAAACTTAGTTAGTTATAGATATTATTATAGCCCCTTGGAGCTCTTTAACATTGTAGTGTGTTGTGTTTGTTTTTAAAATTGGTAACTATTTAATTTGGTATTTCTAACACCCTATACGCTTACTATTTATACCATTAAATAAAAATTTTTATGATTAGTGTAGGGTTTTAAATTATCACCCTGTATCTAACTTTATGTAAAATTAATTAAAGAAAGGTATCAAAATGATTGTATAACAAATGTGTTCTGTTGAGGTATGACTCCTTTACAATTCAGTCGACAGCAATTTACATTGTTTTATTATATCATGACAGAATTTATCTAATTAGGTACGTAACAAACTATATCCATTTCATGTTTATCCTGAACTGGGCGCAACTGGAGTTTCTAAAAAAAGAAATCATTATTAGTACACTCTTAAAAGTACCTTCAATTAAAGAGTTAGTTCACACTTCACTCAACACATTAGTCGAAACATAATTGACTTACAGTTTAAGGTAAACGATCTATAAGAATATACAAATGAGTTAATAAAAGATTCCTACTACGGAGCAAGTTTAAATGACATACTTTGCGCTTTTCCGTCAATCCACGGCGTGAATTTTAGATTCGAAACGTCCCTCTTCCCTGCTTCCGCTTTAACGTCGGCTTTCAGCGCTCTGCGTAGGATTCTGGCCGCAATGCTCGAATAATTGATGTAGCTGGAGAGAAAACAAATGAAAATCAAAAGGGGCTGCAATTACATAACCTCGCAAGCTTTTGTTTTTAACAAAAGTATCAAGTTGAGAAGGCTTACTTTAATCCTGCAGCTCTCCACGCACTCATATTGTTTAATTTAGTTTACTGAGAATTTGGAAAATGGAAAATAATTGAAATTCAGAGAGGGTGTTATATCACATGAAATACGAGTGGCACGACTGTGTTGTAAGTAATAAATTGTTTGGGTTGGTATCTATGTAAAGGTTACATAACTAACTACCGCGCGTTATTTAAAGTAATAGAATAGATCATTTGGATTATCTTATTACGAATTAATTGTAATCGGTCATTATAATTGTGTAGTTAAATTAAAGACTCAGGAAGATTTTGTTTGCCAGATTGTAAATCTAATTATTAGATGTCGCTGCTTCCAAAACACGGACCTCATGAAAAAGATCCGTGTTTCGAAAAAGGATACACGAAATCAAGCAAATGAATGAAAACTCGGAATTTCAACAAAATATATTTGTTTGCTTGCCTGAAAATGAATCAATGAATGAACGGCTTTTATATGCCATCAGGACCCTGCGCTGATTAATTTGTTCTATAATCTTCTGTCATTTCCTTTGTACTTCCAGTTCTTTATCATCACCTGCGTTCATCATCAAGTTGTTGGTCAGTCCTTTTGTTATTTCCACGCAATAACCTTTACTGTCTGGCATTCTTTCTAAGTGAATTAACGATATTATTCTTTTGATAAATTTTAATTTCATTTTTTAGTCTTTCATAATATTCTCTTTCCTCTATATTTTCGCAACGTCGCTGTCCCCATAAGGATTTCATCCGGTGTAGGTCTTCCTTTTCTAAAACCAGCCTTTGACTAAAAACTAGCGGTTTTTCAGACTTTAGCAATATGGTGGTGACCAGAGCGCGTTTTGGCCACATTTTTCGACCATTGGTCGAAATCGGTGTTTGTTCCGTTACTTAAAGTCACTAAATATAGAAAGTACCGCAATCCATTGGGCTCGTGTGTTAGAGAGAGAACGCATGATTTTTGCCCAAAAATGGCGGAAGTTACCAGATTTTGGTAACTTTAATGTTAGGAATTGTTCCACCTGTTTGGAGATATCTGTATATATTTTTATAAAACATGACAGTACTATGAAGTTAGGTTATAAAAAATTACAGCTATTCAGATTTTATTTGTCAATTTTTTAAAGTTGGCAGCAAATTTGCCCAAAAATGGCGGATGATTGCGGTACTTTCTATATCTAGTGACTTTACCGTTACTCAGAAACGACTGCCATCTATTGTGGTCACGTGATTTTCAGTATGAAAAAACCGCGAATGTGGTGTGCTAATCAACTGTGACGTATCGACGGTAGAATCGACACTTCCATTAACCTACGTAGATGGCAAACAAAATATTTTGCTCTAGATTACGTTTAATAGATTATTTAGCACGTAAGTAATTTAATTTAAAAATTCCTTCAAATTCTTTTCTCAAATAGGTGTACAACAGCCTAATTATAATAATGTCTAATGAAATAAAGACGGAAATCCTCTTTATCAAGGAGGAACCAGACACAGAGTTTAATTTAGGTGTCACAGAGCAAAAGTTTGTTATAAACTGTGATAGCTACTATGTCAAAGAAGAAGATACTATCAACAATGGAGATACAAATTACTTTGAAGCTGCAACAAGTCCAACAATTGGCAAGTGTGAAAGTGATCGAGTAATCAAGTACGAGATATTTAAATGTGACTATTGTAAATATGCAACAAACTTTAAACATCGTTTGTCAATGCATATGAATGCTCATCACAATTTTCAATGTGCCTACTGTGATTATGTAGCCAATTTTAAAAGCCGCCTTAAGAGACATGTGGATTGCCATCACACGAAAAGTCAATTCAAATGTGACCAGTGTGATTTTGTAACCAAATTGAAATCGTACCTTAGCGAGCACGTGAATTGTCAGCACAGTCTGAATGAATTCAAATGCAACGATTGTACATATGTAACAAAATCAAAGATCTACCTAACCAAGCATGTTAACGGTTGTCGTGGATTAAAGAAATTTAAATGTACCCACTGTGATTACGTGACGAAATGGAGGAAATGTTTAACAACACATATGAATGGTCGTCACAGCGGAAATGAGTTTAAATGCAACCTGTGCGATTATGTAACAAAGTGGAAAAGCTACTTGACTAAACATGTAAATGGCCTTCATGGTTCAACCGAATTTAAATGTGACCAGTGTAAATACGTTACAAGTTGGAAACATCATCTCGCAAGGCACGTGAAAGGCCGTCACAGTTTGATTAGATTTAAATGTGACGGATGCAATAATATCGCAAAATCGAAACACGGGTTCATCATGGATGAGAATGAATGTTCTATTGCGAGTGAATTACAATGTGATCAGTGTCATCAAAAAACCTATGGGAGACGTGTCTTTTACCGTGCTCTCCCATATCCTGATGGTTCTAATGAGTTCAGATGCGGAAATTGTGGATATATGACAAAGAGGAAGTGGAGTTTAATAGAGCATGTGAAGGCAAAGCATTTAGATGTACCGTTGTACAACTGAAGCTATTGTGAACATAAATAAAACCTGTGGTTGTGATCCGTGTGTACCTCGCACATTTTTTTACAGAGAATTTTGATTAGCAATTGTGATGTTGTCGTTTCATGCACAGGATGTTTAGTGTGCAGTTTTGTCCTGTACCTACATGGTTGTTTCAAGTTCATTAGAATTTGTACAATAGATACATTGTAAAATATTGTTGAACTGACGGATCTTATTTTTTACCACCAGCAGGTTAATAAGGGAGGTATTTCATTGGGGTAAAAATCATACATAGATGGTAAAAATGCTTCCCTTACAAACTAAAGACCAATGAACAAAACGCATCACTCCCCCAGTGAGTCACCAACAGTAAGTATAGGGTAAGTCAAGATTGCAGTGCTGGCTTGGGCGACTCCTAGGATGAAGGTGATGGTCACCTTGCCTAGGATCATTACTGAGATGTCTATAACCCGTTAAATACCCTGTATATTTCAACGTCGGATGCAACCGGTCAAGTAGTTGGAGATTCTCGGAACATGAGCCACCGCCATCACCACCTGTGGATATTTTTTAATTTTTTTCGTAATTTCTGCAGGATGTTTGGGATTTGGGTGCTTTGCGTCACTTGTTGATTGTTAAAGCAAAGAGTACCCGTTAAAGCTTGTTGGTGGTGGGCTTATTGTATTTTGAGTTGTATTTATAGAGTTTAGCTTTGTTTTTGGGTTTGTGCGTTAAGATTCAACCACTGTGGTGTCGGGTAAAGTATTTTATGTGGTTTACTCTTATGTACTTATATGAATTGTGCCATTTGTTAATTCAGATATTTTCCATCTACCATTCTGCTAATATGTAATTTACAACATGCGAGGTGTTAACGAATATCCATGTGCTTGTGGAAGTCTCTGATATCTCAGGTTTAAACCACATTTAACTCAGTTACACAGTGCACTGGGGTGTACCTATGTAGAACATCGACTTCCGTGAAGTAGGGCATGCAATGCTAGGTGTATTTAGTTTAGGGTGACTCGTAACATTCGCGAATGCGTGTGCCTTGTTGTATGTAACTCATATCTTTCTACCGTGAGAGGGAGCTCGGACGCTAGAATAGAAAGGTATTCTAGAGCTAAGACATAAAAGGATCTGAGGGCCCTCGAACCTCCAACTTTAGGGACGAAGTGCTGTAACCAAGGCCGTCCTACCCATCTCTTAACCATCTTCAGTTTTGTGTCGTTACGTGACCGATGTCAGGGGAGTGTTACGAAGCACGGGTAGTAGTTCCGGAAGTCTGGGGTTTATACCAATGTCATTATGTGGAAACTGAGCATAATTGGGGGCCCCACGAGCACACGGTATTGTCATAACTGCCTATTGTTACGTCACAACATGAATAATTGATAAGACATGTTTTTACGAACTTCACACCACTCTATTCGGTATATAATGATATGAATAACTAGTAAGGTGACTTATATCAATAAATGCATGAATGTGGTGCCCCTTTAACTGCGCTACGGGTTAATAGGCAAATCTGCCAGCCCAATTCCTAATAATATAACCGTGAAACAGGAGGGCAATCAAGCGAAGACGCTGGCCCAAACCTAACGAATAACCAGGTTCCCCACCCAATGACTAACTAAAAAGTGTCTTCTATCCGCGATTAAAGGAAAGTACATGACATGTTGTGACGAATACTCTACGCATACTGTTCAAACGTACCCTGCTACTTGAATTCATTCATTAATTAAGGCAGTGTTACATGTCCTGCTTAGGTGGTTGGTGTTTTAATTTACTTGTGATTAGCATAGTTTGTGTTTTATTCAAGGCCAAGGTTTTTTCTCAAGTCGCGCTCTTTTTCCTTGGTAGTCTGCTTTTGCGAGAGTGCGGCACCTTTAGGTTTTGCTTGCTTTGCTTTTAATGTACCACACTCAAATTCCCGGGTTTTCAGAATAACTTTATAATAAATAAACTCGCAGACATTACAGCGTTTTATTTGAGTGTTCCCGCCCGACTGGGTCCCGAGTCATTGTATTAGCTTCGTGTAACGTAAGGGGGCCCTACCTTAGACGATGAGATCACGTGCCGTTCTTTTGTTTGAATTTTGAGCGGGAACCGTGTTTTGATACTGGGATTGCAGCGTTGCCACTTTGCCGTGAAATCTGTCATCTTCACTTCGAGCCTGGGGTGGGTTAAGATCAGTACATTACATAAGGCAAGATAGATTATTAGGTATGTGAGTGATTTTGGTAATTTAGAAAATGCTTGATTTTGAAGTCGACAAATACTTTTCAATAACATGGTTCTGATTTTGTTTTTTCGCTTGTTCTAGCTATATCTAGCGATGTCTTGCCATCGTAGAAGTAGATCCTTTTAAAAGAATCTCTCTGTAGGTATGGTATATACAATACTCATTTACTACCAGCCCTTGCACGCCCATCCACCACTTATTATGATTTGCATCTGCAGCAGGGTGATAGATTAGTCCCGCCTGCTTGACGAGCCGCCACTGAAATGTATGGAACCAAGTATGCTGCGTCAATTGATGACGACAGCGGTTTTTGGTAACTTGTTGTAATTGTAACCTTGACCTTGTGTCGACAGGAATTTAGGTCACAGCTGTTCTCAACAGTTATTCTTTGTCGTGTTCGTCCCTAATCCATTCTGAACGTACTTTTGGAAAATCAATGTGGCGCATATTGTCTGCAATGCACTTTCATATTGCCTTGCGGAAAAAGTTGTAAAATTTTATTAGGAACGGAATTTATTGCATATAGCTCCTTTATGTACATTGTAAACATTGCCAATTGCTTTGCAAATTGATTACGTATTTTCTGCAATTACCAATTCGTTGTGTTAATACCTGGTTAATACCACAAAGTGTAAATTTCTATGGCTGCACCGCCTAAGGCAAAGTTGAAACTCGTCAATGGGAGATACCCAAACAGTTTGATTAACCACAAAAGTTAAATGTAATTCATTATCAATGACAAATAAAGAACAAATACAATGAAAATTCCACATACATAACCTATGTTTTTCTTTATTAAATACACGTAAAATTATATCAATAAGATACCTGTTCACTTAAGTACCCTTTGAGGATTAGTTTATTAGTTTGATTGAGAAAAAGATATGCGTAACATCTATAGTTAATAATCGGCGAGATTACAATCCAGTCACAGACACAAGTGCGCCATGTACTTAACGTAACTAATTTGATGAATTCCAATAAAATAAGTGAAATTGAAAGTGTTCGCCCTCGCCCATTGAAAAATGAAGTTCGCCGAACATCTCAGTGCACACATAACGCCCGAATGGAGGAAACAATACATAAGCTACGAGGTAATTTGACTATAGGTATTACACTACAACCTTATCACAATATTTACATTTCAAATAAATCCATAAACACGTCTGCTTGATAGAATTAAAGCCCTTCGTACCGAAATTTGCAAAAACCCTTTGAAAAAAAAATGCTCGCCATCTAACGGCAACGTTTCGAAAAACATTTGAGCGCCAAATTCAATTTTTAGGAAATGAAAGGCCTACTTTATTTGGCGGTCGAAGAGGCGCCGTCCGCCGAGAGCGTGGAACCCGAAGTCCTGACGAGACACTTCAAAAATTTCGATGAGCAATTTTTCCACTACTGCGATAAAGAGTTAAAGAAAATCAACACGTTCTATTCGGAGAAGCTGGCGGAGGCGACACGAAAGTATGCGACCTTAAGTAGCGAGTTGAACTCGACGTTAAACCTCAAGGGGAAGTTGCGCAAAGACGGCGAGCAGAGGAAGGCGGTGCCGGTCCGCAAGATACAGGAGCTCAAGTTCGCGTTTAGCGAATTTTATCTCAGCCTTATTTTATTGCAAAACTATCAAACGCTCAATTTTACCGGCTTTCGGAAGATACTTAAGAAGCACGATAAGGTGAGTTGTCACGGTTTGTTACCGTTTCATAACTCGCCTATTTTCAGTTACTGTCAGTGGATTTGGGTGCTAAGTGGCGTACGGAGAATGTAGAGGTGTCACATTTTCATACAAATAAAGATATCGATAAACTTATACATGATACAGAGGCAACGGTAACAAATGAGTTGGAATCTGGTGATCGGCAGAAGGCCATGAAAAGGCTTCGTGTGCCGCCTTTGGGAGAGCAGCAGTCTCCTTGGATTACTTTTAAAGTTGGCCTGTTTTCAGGATCTTTTATTGTACTTTTTATTACAGTTATTTTATCAGGTAATTTCTCTTATACATTACATGTGGATTATTTATGCTCTTTGTTGGTACATAGGGATGCTCAAAGTAATCAAAACAAACTTTATGTTATAATATTAGTGTGTTCCAAAATGATTGTGGTTCACTGTAGGTGCTTTTGCATCAAAAGCAGAGCTGTGCAAGCCCTTTATAAAAGAGTTCATTAAAAAAGGCTTATGAATTATTATTTTTACAAGACTAAAGCATGTTTGAGTGTAACATTGAACCTTTATAGAAAGGAATCCTAAAAGGCTGGTTGCACAAACTTATTTGGTTCTGGTTTGATCCTGATCCTGATGTTATGAAACGTGATTGGTTCATGCCTTTGACATTATCCAATCAGACTCAAGGGATCCAATCAGATACAATCTTAATACTTGATCAAGTATTTTTTTGCAACTGGGCGATGAGAGAAATTCAAATTCTTTAGACTGCCTTTGTTTTATTTAATCTGGCAGGTAGATGACATAGCTTAAGATCAAACCTTTTTTGGAATTGAAACCTTTTCAAAACTGAACTCAATAGAAAAGGAATTTTAAGCATTAAAATGGAATTGTAAACTAAACAATTGCTTAGTACGTTAATCAAAGCTCTTTTGATCAATCCAAAGGCTTAAGCCCATATGAAAGTCTTATGTAGAAAGAGCTTCAAATATTGGAATTTCCCGCTTCGAAGTTTTGCACAGCTCTGATCCAAACTGAAACTCTTGAGTCTTGGTCTCTTTTACCTAAATTAGAAAAAGTGACCCACAGTTCTTTGATTATATATACTGCGTAACAATTATATCGGTATGTGCGGTTGTTGAGGTTGAACTGTGAACGTATTGGCTGAATGTAAAGTCTTTGAATGAGAAAGCACTAACAGTTGGACTTCTGTACACAGCAAATTTTATTCTAAACTCTGTTTAATTCCAAAGATAAGCAATGGAAACCTTTTTACTGCATTTTCCAAAAGAAGGAATGTTAACTATAAATAATATATATCAGTCTGCTCATTATTCCTCAAGTAGGTATTTTTTTTTAAATGCAATACCCTGTATATCTTAACGTCAGTTGTTTTTCATTCTTTTTCCTGATTACATTACTGTATCAGAACCTATGATTTCTTAATTTTAACCATGAAAATTTTTTTTGCTGTTTTTAAATAGTAGGCCATTGGTTCATGGAGATTTTGTTTTGCTATTGTATCCATGGTAATTAAAGCTGATACCCTTAGATCATATATACTGATCTAAGCTGATACCTTCCGAATCATTAAAAATGGCTGACGATAGCAACATGTCATTTCATTTGAAAAATTAAAATAAATAAAATAAAATATAGGGTCTGATACATCAAAGTAATCAGGAAAAAGAATGCACAAAAACTGACGTTAAAATATACAGGGTGTTGCATTTAAAAAATACCAACTTTGTGTCATATCTACAAAACACCCGTCCAGCTATAGCTTTAAATTTAAAAATGAAAAATCTGAATATTGACTTTAAACTTATAATTTTGGAGCCTTAACTTCCGAAAATTCCAAAGAATTAACTAATTAAAGAAATTTTTATTAACAGTGATCTGACATGAAAAACTATCCGGGTCGCACAATGGATTCGAATAAACACACGATTAATTGATTGCTAAATGACAAAAATTTATTCCGAAGCACATGAAAGAAATAAAACAAAATCCCTGAAAGAAAGAAAAGCTTAAAAAGCTTGTTTGGACATATTACCCCGTACGCAGGCGGTCGGCCATTAAAATTATTTATGTTTTTTTTAAAGAATCCAAATAATCAGGTCGGACAAGGTTTGCGATAATAGGCGCAGTTAACCCACACAGAAGCGCTGGACTATAGCTTCTGGAAAGTTCACTTGTTTTTGACAACACTGAACTTGATGACAGAAACTTTTAGCTTTTAATAAGAGGAGAACCTTAATAAGGCTTCGCTGTGCACAACTATTTGTATTTTCACTTTGGTTAACTTGCTTAAGCACACTTTATTTCGATATCGACGAATTACGTTTTTACATACACAGGCTGACTGCCCGTAAAAAAAATTCGCGTAAACAAATGGCCGTCGCGGCCTCGTTTTCTCGCTGTCTCCAGCACATAACGATACACCACTTCCACCATAAAGTAAACTCTTACTTTATGAATTTTCAAATAAATCGCTAATAGCTAGCACCAGAACACGTGCGTTAATTAAATTTCGCCTGATAAATTCCTTATCGCAAACACCTTTAAATTGAATAATTTACAAAAGCGATAAAATTTAAACGGAAAATTACGCATCTAAGCTAATGAATTGAAATAATTCTCATATACAGGATATCCCCATCATTATTTTTGGTATTTAGACCGAAATAACGTCTCCATATGACGTTGTTTACACAACAATATGTTTGACTTGGAATGATAATGGGTGTGTGAAACATAGGTACATTGCAAATGTACGCAAATTTACAAGGCTAAATCATTTACATTTACTACTATCTGTCTTTCTCTATCGTGTGAGTTATTCTATACACAGAAAAAAAGGAATAAACCTTATCCTCACTTTTTTCTTGCATATGTGACGACCTATCATAAAAATAATTTTTAATTCAAAATAAGTTACTATAGTTACTTAAAAGAGAAAATTATACAGGGTGCGTTCACACAGTTGGGCGCTAAAAAGGTACATTTTTCTGAATGGAACCTCTTGTATTTTAATGCATTTTAATTTTATGTGTAATTGGACGACTTTTTTTATTATATGGTTAGTATACGAAGAACAGATAATTTGATTTATAAGAAAAATTTGGCATATGCTGCTGCAGTTTATTGTCAAAATTAGTTTGTGTACGCAATATGTTTAAAATGTGGAGAATATTCAACCATATCATAATACAAAATCACTTTATCGAAAAATCTCATCTTCGAGGCATAAGTTACTCCGCGCAATCGTTGACTCACCCTGTACATATTGTTTGTCAAATATAAGCAGTTAATACTGTAGCGCATATTTCAAAAATCCCGATAGATATCGAGGCGCCACGACAGATCTTGTCATCGGCGATAAAGAACGAAGGCGGATGTGACGCAATCTTTCTGGGAAATGTGACCTGTTTTGTTTTAGAACATTCGAGAGCGTTTGTAAAAGCCCGGCCTTTGCTATATAAGCAATTCGAATTGCGATTCAGTTCAATTTCAGAGCTTCTAGACTTCTGATTTTTTCTGCTATATGTTATCTGTAGATACAAAGTATATGTAATAAGTATCTGTACCTGTATCTAGACTCTAAATACTAAAATAAAAGCAACTGTCATAAAACATGTAAACATGGTCACTAAAAAGTAAAAATGTAATCAAATACTTTTCTCTCAACACGAGTCCAAATGATTTATCTTTTTGGCGGAAACACAAATACAAAACTTCCTAAGAAAAAAACACAAAAAAGCACATAGCTAGGCTGGGGGAGCTAGCCCTATTAATATAGTCCCCTTCAAGTACCCTTTTTCTCATATGTTATAATAGCACAAAAGTATTTTTTTGCCACAAATTTTTGAAAATGAAAAAACTTGTAAATATGGGGGCACCAACAATGAAAAATTGGATGTACATATTAAAATTGTTCTGCTCAAGTAAATATACCTACACTATCGGGCCATGGGGTGCAATTTGCATTTCAAGATTCATCTTTTTAAAATAGGAGAATACACTCATAAATAGGGAAGGATCTTTAAGAACTTTAAAACGGTAAAAACTTCCTCATATGAAGGTATGGTACAAAACCTTGTTGACTCCCACCTTCTCGGTGCAGCCTGATGTGGTGATTCGGCCATGAATGAATTGGAATGTGTGAATTTGAGTAATGGGCACGTAAGGACCTCAGTGACTGTGCTTAGTGTATACACCACAAGTACCGGAGCTTTGCTAGTGTTTGTACGAATGGTGCGGTGACTGTAATCGTAACTTGGTTACGTAAAAGCTAAAAGTATGCAATGTAAATTATTGTTTCATTTTCATTTTGAAGACCTTGAAGTCTTATCAGTGTCGCTAATTGTGGCTGAAAGTACGTGGCCAATTGAGATTCTTTCCTTGTTAGCTTGTTACCTACATGAGAGAACTCTTCATGTTTGAAAAAATGAACGTAACGCCGAATTTTGGCCAATTTTAATTATGAAATTTTATGGCGGTAAAGGACTTAATTTGGCAGTTTGCCTGCTTGTATTTCATTTTAATTTCCTTGACTCACATCGGTAAAAATCCCTTTATCTCGCCCATAACCTCAAAATTGAAGTTTACTTTTTTTGTTTTAGCGATATTCCACGAAGGAACGAGTGAGAATTTAAAAATTGCATTCCGTTTGTATAGAGGACCATTATTGATAATAGAATTTTTGTTTTTAATCGGCGTGAACGTGTACGGATGGCGTTCGTCGGGAGTAAACCACGTCCTAATCTTCGAATTGGACCCCAGAAACCATTTATCCGAGCAGCACCTGATGGAAATGGCGGCGATATTCGGAGTAATTTGGACGCTGAGCCTGTTAAGTTTTTTGTACAGTCCCAGCCTGAGCATACCGCCTTATTTAAATCCGTTGGCGCTTTCGATTTTAATGCTCGTCTTTGTACTTAATCCGTTTAAAGTATTCCGGCATGAGGCCCGGTTCTGGTTCTTAAGGATATGTGTACGTATTCGCGACCTGTAACTATCGTGTGTTTTTAATTGTCAGCTTTTAGGGTCGTATGTTTGCCGCCCCTTTCTTTCATGTGGGCTTTGCCGATTTCTGGCTGGCTGATCAACTGAATAGCTTGGCAAATGCGCTAGTCGATTTTCATTTTTTGGTCTGTTTCTACGTCACCAACGGTAATTGGCTGGAAGCAAATGGTAAGTACTCGTCGCAATTATTGTGGGGAGGGTTTATACCACAACACCCTACTCCAAAATTATGACTACAACCCTCAACAACGTTTTCCATACTTTAAGAATAACCCCAACCCCCAGTTTCAAACCTAAGTTAACTATGAGATTATGCATGAATAACAATATTCAATTGTTTATGATTTAAGTTACTAAATCAAATGATGTTTATTAAAAAAATCACTTGACCAGGTTTATGAAACCTAAATGTCTCAAAAATTGATAACCAACCCTTTTTTTAAGATCTCTAGAGAGACCCTTAGCACATTTCTAGAAAAGATTCCTGAAAAAAAGATTAATTTCTACAATGTCCAAACAGGTTCTAGCTGCAAAATTCTTAAAACTTCTATAAGGTACTCTTTCTGGAAATATGAGTCCTAAGATGTTCTTGAAAGGATTTCAACAAATTCCTTGCAAAAATTGCCCCCCAATTTTCTAGAAAGATTTTTAAGAGAATTTTTTAAAGGGGGAATTTGAAGATTTTAAAGAACATTTTTCTGGAAATATTTTTAAGAAATTTTCTTGAATTTTCAAGGAAACTTGCGTAGCTCGCGTAGATTTTATTTTTCATTATTTTTAAGTGGGTATAAGTACCAACTGAACGTATTAAACAAAATAATTATTAATAATTATTAAATAGTAGAGTTCTTTCAAAAGTTTTCCAGGAAAATTTTTAAGAAATTTTTCAAGATTAAAAAATTTGTAGGAAGATCTGAAAGGATTCTTTTCTATGAAATTTGTTAAAATTCTCCCTCAAAAGATTTGTAAGTTTCTGTGACCCAAGAAGTTTTCTGAAATGTTTTTTCAAGACTGTTTCAAGGACTTCTAAGAATATTTCTCAGGTTTAGAGAATTTGACCTTGAAAACAAATTTATGTACCTAGTTCTGAATTCAGTGTACCTCATTGTACCCCTGCTGTTTTAAGGAAATATGGTTTCAAAATATTACAGCCACATGAACATTGAACAATTTTTTGAATAAATCCCCAACCTCATTGGGATCTCCGTAACGGTGAGAGATACAGTGTAGGTTAAATGGGGGAAAAGTAACCCCTTTTTTGAGACTATACTTTTTGAAAAATTTTTGATAACCGAGATATCACCAAAAAACTGAAAATATCGTTTTCATTTTTCGTAACTTACACGGTCTGAAATGGACGGTTCCCGTTGACACCTTCTACAGACACTTTTTTTTGTTGAGAATTTCACAAAATGCACAATCCGAAACATGCCGCCATCTTGCCAAGATGGCCCCCAAAAACGGTTTTTTTGCAAATATCCCCAAAACTATGCGTTTTTCGAAAAAGTATGTAGAGCGCAAAATTAAAGAGGAGGAAGTTTCCTATAACATATGTTCCTAGTAAATATTTATCACGAAATAATGGCATATCTTTTATTTAATTAATCGATTAACCCATTAATTAATCTATGTTAATAATTTATGAACAATTAATTTCGATTTAAAATGCTATACTTGTTTCCACACCACCCAAGAGGTAAAATACACGGCGCGTTTTTTTAACGTGGTTTCCCCTGTAGGCCTAATCCACTTAGGTACTAAAATTATCTTTGACCAAGGCCAGACGGATCTTGCTCGTTGATTTCCATATCTTGAATGGGGAAAATGGTTACCTCAGCTTCAGAATCGATGTCGATTTCCTTCAACTTGTCGGACTCTCCTTTATTTCCAGGTAAGTCCTATCTTTGATCCCCAATGACTGGCCTATATTGAATCATTGGGTTAGAGTGACATTCTTAAAAGTTGAGAGTTGTGCCCAATTTAATTCGATGCGGGCGTTGTTGATGGTTATTAGTCATTTGGGTGTTATCGTGATTATCAAGACATTAAGTTGGGAAATCTCAAATAACGATTGTGCTTTCAGATACAAGTCAATGCATGGAGCACAATTTCATAACTCGTCCCATTGTGAACTGCATTCCGGCGTGGATACGTTTCGCTCAGTGCTTGCGACGTTACCGCGATACAAAGGAGGCGTTTCCCCATCTCGTTAACGCCGGAAAGTACGCCACCACGTTCTTCGTGGTTATTTTCGGGACACTCAGATCTGTATACCAGTCGAATTACGCATCGTCCGCCGATAATCCGTTTTTATTTTTATTTATCGCATCCTGCATCCTTAACTCATGTTACGCGTACACTTGGGACATCAAAATGGATTGGGGATTATTCGATAAAGGTGCCGGAGAAAACAAGCTTTTGAGGGAGGAAATCGTTTATTCGTCAACGGTAAGTAGGTACAGTAGGATGCAGCACCTTTCAAAGGTTACTTGATGAGAATTTCACAATTTTGCGGATTGAGATCTGTAGATGGCGCTACCCATATTAGCGTTACATTTTTAAGCGACTTGCCGTTGCGAGGTTTATGGTCCACATGACCGAGCACCCGCCGCTCTAACTAAAATTTGTGACCTTTGCGCTACCCCGGACCGAGTTCCTCAATATTATATCAAAATTATGCTCCTGCGTCGTTTAGAACGCTCTAGAATGTTTCATACGACTTCTAACAAATGAAATAACCAGAAAAAGCGCCATAAGATAGATTCGTGGAAATTAGTTACAATTGGTGTCAGGTGTGGGGCAGTAGTTATTTGTACAACTAGTTTTCAAAGTGATACTTTTTTTCATGAATTTGTAGTTTGATGCAAGATGTGTTTTCCTCAGAAAAAGAGCTAATGGGTAAATATTAACATTGCGGTCCATAAGACCACTGGCGCTGCACAACTGATTAAACGAAACCCCAGAAAACCACCATGAATTAAATGGGATGAAGCTAAGAAGATCATTGAAACGTCACCTGTGGTTTTGGTGAAAAAGGAAGAGGAGTCCATACGATTTTGCGTACATTATCGACAATTGAATTACCAAGAAGGTTAATCGTTACCAAGAATGATACTTTAGATACTCTTACCGGAACTGAATGGTTTTCAATGTTGGATAAGAAGAGTGGTTACTGGCATATGGGACTCGAACCTCATCGAGAAAATACTGCGTTCAGTGTTGGTTCCGGTTTATGGCAGTTTAAGGTAATGCGGTTTGCGTTATGCAACGCTCCTGCGACTTTTGAGCGCCTGTAATAGAATTAATGCTCAGGGGGCTGTTATGGAAAACTGTTTGGTGTACCTAGATGCCGTTATAGTTACTCACTGTTTGCGTTTTTATGTCGAAACACGAAAATGATCGTTGTCCGGGGGGAAGAGGGGGGGGCGGTCTAGAACAACTTCCTTCGTTGGAATATATTTTTAGCTGGTATCCATAAGTAGTGTTGCTGCAAAATTGAAAAAAAAACTTCAAGCTAAATAAGTTGCGCCATTTTTTACAGTGCTGACTATAGGAGCCTAGGCGCCATGTTGCATCGAAAATTCAAATTGGAAGTAGGCAACACACAATGCACGTATGCCTGTCTCTAAAAACTCACTGTACTAACAAAAGAGTAAAGCGCCATCTATAGACATTCAAGTGATTTTCAACACTTATTAAATGCATAGGGCCTTATCACGCAAAAATCCTTTTTCAGTTCTTTTACTACTTCGCGATCATCGAAGACTTTGTCCTTCGATTCGTATGGGCGCTATCGCTGTATTTAACCGAAATGCAATACGTCAGTTCCGACCTGATGACATCAATATTGTCGCCGCTCGAGGTCTTTCGTCGCTTCGTATGGAACTTCTTCCGATTGGAAAACGAGCACCTAAACAATTGCGGTAAATTCAGAGCGGTACGCGACATATCGGTCGCCCCTCTCGATTCGTCCGATCAAATTCAAATAATACGGATGATGGACGAAGACGACGGCGTGATAAATAGGGGGAAGAGGAAGCAGTTCAAGAGGAAGGAGGATAAGAAGATATTAATATACGAAGATAGCCTTATGACTTTGCAATCGCCGAAAAGTTCGGGTAGTCCGATCTCACTTATACACGTTTGAAATGCAATTAGAAGTGGACTGATTAAATTTTATTTCATTTTATCCGTTTTTTTTTTAAGAAGGCAACACTGTCTTACCAGGTTATTACCAATTCTGCCATTGATTAGGCACACTGTGAGGATGTAGCAATAGCCCAACATTATTTACATAATTTGTTATTACCAATCGTAAATATTGTTGTAATATTAACATTTTTTATTGAATTAATGTACTTTAATTGTTGTATTAGCATATATGAAAGTAGAAATTAGTCATTTTTTTATCCAGTGTCGTCAAGTTTGAAGTTGAGCCACAAAGAAGAAAAAGTTCCTCAGTTCAATTTCCCAAAATTTTAGCAGTTTGTGTTAGCTATCAGAGAATTTTGAGTTCAGATGCTTACTCCACAGATAAAATTCCCATTTATCTGTGCTTACTCCAAGTGGCCTATGGAACTACGTTTAATTATTTACTTATAGTTTTAATTTTTGTGCCTTTGTGTATTATTGTAGGCGTTACGCAAGGTAATAGCAAATAGGGAAGTGTCTGATTAGAAATCGCGACTATTTTTTATATTTCTTCTCTATTTAACTGTTACTCATTTTCCACTTGATATCTTATGATGATAGTTCTGTGATAGTTTATACAATTCTCCATTTTATCAATAAATAGTATACTTGCCGCATGTTATCATTTATAGATATTGCTATGTGCAATGGCAAACGTTCACTAAACCATCTACAACTACCTATCCAGCTAACTCGGTTAAACATATAGGTACTAACAAAACCTTTAGATACAAGTTGGATATGTACGAAGGCATAGAAGAGCCATCTATAAAAAAAAAATAACTACAATTCAGAATTCTAATTTTAAACGCAGAATTCTGACTTTAAACTCTGAATTCTAACATTAAACTCAGAATTCTGACTTTAAACTCAGAATGTTAACTTTGAGGTTGAGTTTAAAGTCAGAATTCTGACTTTAAACTCGCAATTCTAATCTTTGATCTCAGAATTTGGAGTTTAAACTGAGTTTTAAGTTAGAATTCTAACTTTAAACTTTGAATTCTATCTTGAAATTCAGAATTCTAACTTTAAACGCAGAATTCTGACTTTAAACTCGGAATTCTAACATTAAACTCAGAATTCTGACTTTAAACTCAGAATTTTAACTTTGAGGTCACAGAATTCTGACTTTAAACTCGGAATTCTAACCTTTGATGTCAGAATTTGGAGTTTAAACTGAGTTTTAAGTTAGAATCCTAACTTTAAACTTTGAATTCTATCTTGAAATTCAGAATTCTAACTTTAAACTTAGAATTCTGACTTTAAACTCAGAATTTTTACTTTGAGGTCACATGAGTTTAAAGTCAGAATTCTGAGTTTAAAGTCAGAATTATGAGTTTGAAGTTAGAATTCTAAGTTTAAAGTCAGAATTCTGAGTTTAATGTTAGAATTCGGAGTTCGAAGTCAGAATTCTGAGTTTAAAGTCAGAATTTTGCCACACCAACATTTAGAACAAGTTAATGGTACCTATATGATAACCGTCATAATACCACAAAACCTTTAACATAGCGTTAAAAATTTTTATCACGTGGCCTTAAAGATTACAAATTTTACAAATGTTTTAAAAGGTGTTTTTTGAAGTACTTTTTATCATTTGTTGCAAAACCACAATTGGCTCATTTAAAATCCTTAGACACTTTGTGTTTTAAAAGGTGCAGTTGGAAGTACGTTTTGTCATTTGTCCCATAATCACAAGTGCCGCATTTAAAATCCTTCGCAACTTTATGCTTTAAAAGATGTCGTTTGAAGAGGTGTTTATTATTTGTTCCATAATCACAAGTAGCACATTTAAAATCTTTGGAGACTTTATGTATTAAAATGTGCGCCATAAGAGAGGATTTAATGTTTGTTTTATAATCGCAATCAGTACATTTAAAATCCTTTGACATGTTATGCTTTAAAAGGTGTCGTTTGAAGAGGCGTTTATTATTTGTCCCATAATTACAATTAGTACATTTAAACTGCTTAGACACTTCATGTTTTAAAAGGTGTTGTTTAAGGTATGATTTACTATTTGTCTCGTAGTCACAAATAGCACATTTAAAATCCTTAGAAACACTATGTTTTAAAAGGTGTATTTTTAAGTAGTACTTATCATTTGTACCATAATCGCAATTAGCACATTTATAATTTTTAGAATCATTATGTCTCAAGAGGTGCTGTTTAAAGTGGTATTTATTATTTGTGCCGTAATCACAAGTAGCACAATTAAAGTCTTTAGAAACTTTATGTTTTAAAAGATGATTTTTGAGGTAGTACTTATTATTTGTGCTGTAATCACAATTACCACATTTAAACTCTTTATTTCGCTCTTTATGTGTTAAAATATGCCGGTTAAAGAGGTGTTTATTATTCGTCCCATAATCACAATTAACACATTTAAAATCTTTGGAAACTTTGTGTATCAAAATGTGCGCTTTTAAAGAGGATTTAATGTTTGTCTCAAAATCGCAATCGGTACATTTAAAATCCTTAGAAACGTTATGTTTTAAAATGTGTCGTTTGAAGAGGCGTTTATCATTTGACCCATAATCACAATTATCACATTTAAAGTCCTTAGAAACTTTATGGTTTAGAAGGTGTTGTTTAAGATAGGATTTACTATTTGTCTTATAGTCACAATTAGCACATTTAAAATCCTTAGAAACACAATGTTTTAAAAGATGTATTTTGAAGGAGTATTTATAATTTGTACCATAATCACAATAAATACATTTAAAATCTTTAGAGACTTTATGTTTTAATAAGTGTTGTTGGATGTCCTTTTTAACATTTGTCACATAATCACAATTAGCACAATTAAAAACCCTAGAAACATGTCTTAAAAGGTGTCGTTTAAGATAGGATTTATAATTTGTTTGATAATTACAATTACCACATTTAAAATCTGTTTTACACCCGTTTTTACAGGTTAAAAGGTGCCTTTGAAAGTTGTCTTTTCTATTTGTTCTGTAAGAACAACTTGCACATTTAAACTGTTTAGAAGCTCTATGCCTTAAATGGGGTTGCTTAAACTGCAATTTTCTATTTGTACTTAAGTTACATTTATAAGATTTAGTATTCCATTTGCAGTCAGGCTGTTGTACTTCTTCAATAGAAAGGGAATCGGAACACTGTGCACTAACGGTCATTTCGTTCTTTATAGCGACTAAAGCTTCGTTGCTTACCAAAACGTGTTCCTGAAAAGAGGAATGGATTACTTCTTCGTGTTTTGGTTCGATTTTTATGAGTTGTGTGCCATCATCCCCTTCCATACCAAGCAACAATAGGGTTATGAAAAAATTTATTAATTTGGATTATTAAAAATCATTTTTAAACAATATAAACTTTGTTACTTCATTCCTCTAATGATTATAAACAAAGTAGATGACATTTGATAGCTTTGGCTGTAACTCTAATACCGGTAAAATTTGCGGTTTTATTATTGGTCTCACTTTCAGTGGCGTGTCTTGCGCCCGATGCGTCTAATCATTAAACAGTTTTTCTGTGCACAGATTTGGACTGTCAGTGGGCTAGAGAATGGCAGACGAGTCTGTTACCTTAATGAAGTACTGTAGGTAGTGCCAATGTGCGCAGAGACGTTTAATTTAATTCAATGTATTTTATGTTGGACGTTTTTTAAAGGTCCGTAACGTGACGGAACCGAACGGACAAGTGCGCGGCAACCTTTATAACGAGACCTCCGGGCTCTGGTGGCCCTTGGCAGCAGCAGCACATTGTAATTACTATTGGTGGTATAAGATCGCCAAAGGGGCCAAAAGTAATCAACTGTAGTTTTTATTTTTTATTTGCAATCAATGTAATTACCTACATCTTGAGATGTCTATATCCCTTCAAATACCCTGTATATTTCAACGTCGGATGTAACCAATCAAGTAGTTGGAAATTCTAGGGACATGAGCCACCGCCATCACCACTTGATAATTTTTTTGAAATTTTCGGGGGATGTTTTGGATTTTGGCTTTGCGTCACCTGTTGATTATTAGAGCTTGTTGGTGGCGGAAGTATTGCATTCTGAGTTGTATTCGCTCGGACGCTAGAATAGAAATGTATTCTAGAGCTAAGGCACACAAGGATCCGAGGGCCCGCGAACTTTAACTTTAGGGGCGAAGTATCTGTAACCCAAGATCGCTCTACCTATGGGCGGCGACCCATCTCTTAACCGTCTTCAGTTTCGTGTCGTTACGTGACCAATGTGAGGGGAGTGTTAAGAGGCACATCCAAATTCCCGGGTTTTCAGAATAAGTTTATAATAAATGAACTCGCAGACATTACAGCATTTTATTTGAGAGTTCCTGCCCGAACTGAGTCCCGAGTCATTGCATTATCTTCGTGTAACGTAAGGGGGTCCTACCTTAGACGATCCGATCATGTGCCAATCTTTTGTTTTAAATTTAAGCGGGAACTGTGTTTTTATACTGGGATTGCAACGTTGCCACTTTGGTCTGAAATCTGTCATGTTCGCTTCGAGGCTGGGGTTGGGTTAAGATCATTACATTCTTAAAGAGCAGGGATAGGTAGTTTAAAAAGTCACATTTCAAATTAGTACAATTTCACTTAAAAAATTGCAAGAATAACCAGATGTTTACAAACCGCTACTACCTGCACACGCCATTTGTAAATTATACTAGCGCCTCTATACTGTATTCATTTTAAGAAGGTAGTGAAGCATAGGGAAGCTTTGACCTTCAGTGTGATTGGTTAAAACACAAGTCAGTATTACGCTGAACATAAAACGAGTGGCGAATTTTGCAAGCTGGTAGTTTCTGTTGCCATCTAAACTGTTGGAAGTTTCATTAACTGTTAATGTCAAACATTTATTTCTGTTTGCAGTGCTGGATATTTCTACTTTACAATAATTTGGTGCCGTTTTATATTTTTCCTGTGTGTGCTTATCTTCAAAGACAACGCCATCTACTACCTTCTTAAATGAATGAAGTATAGTGTTAATAATAATAAACCCTACATAACTTCACCAGACACAGACACTAATCGTTACTTGATTTTAATCCGTGCGATTAGTTAAACCAGGCTAGACCTGAGTTCTCACAAGATACACAGACCATAATAATAATAATAATAATAATAATAATAAAATGGTAGAATATCAGCTTGGTAGAAATGAGTGCAAAAAAAATGTCGCTGCTAGACCTGAGTTCTCACAAGATACACCGACCATAATAATAATAATAATAAAATGGTAGAATATCAGCTTGGTAGAAATGAGTGCAAAAAAAATGTCGCTGCCTCCTGAACTAAAAACAAGGTAAGTACCAAAAACAATGTTTACTGCAATGCTATATTTAGGTTACATATTATACATAAAAATTCGATACATTAGTTCCTAATGCAGTTCACATTTATTGATGCAGTCTCGCAAATATATGAGCTACTATAGGCTCCCATATTAAAAACTAATAAATTACAAGTTTAACAAATTTAGTAAACTCATTGCATTATTTTTTACACGATTTTTCATAGAAAATCCTACCTCAAACGGCATTAAAATTGATAAACAAAATAAAGTTCTACAACACAAAAAATATACAATATATACTTATTATGCAGATTTTAATCTCCTTTTTTTTAATTAAATCTGAGCTTTTGCTTTTATCACAATTACGAGTACGAAAATAATTCGATTATTTTGGTAACACAATTTTTGGAGTTGTATTGTACGGGGATGATTTTCCTAGCAAGTCAAATTTCTGTACCATGCTTGCTACAGAGGTCGAGGCAGTCTTACTTCTTAAGCCGTTCGTCGTAGTTTGTAGTTTTCCTGTAATTTCAAAAAAGGGGTCAGTTTTTTTCGTTGTAAGTACCGGGTGGCTAAATAAAAAGGGCACTTTTCCCAAAAATGGAAAATCAGAATATTGCAATAGGTATAAGAGGAGGGAGTGTTTTGATGAAAAAATTGCTAAATCTTTTTTCTCTTTCATACATTAAAAAAAACTTGGGTTTCTTTAAAAGTCAATACACCAGATGTTTCAAGCACGTGCTTGAATTATCATATTAATTACAGTTATTCATAGACGCTAGATGGCGCTTCAACGTAGTAGACTTTGACTAGGTTCTCTAATCTGTATATTTACTTTTGTATAGAAATATCTCCATGTGTCTAGAAAACGAATGTCGATTCTCTTTTGTTACTGTGTCATTCTTATTTGGCCACTCGGTACATACCAATGAAGAATTCATGCAAGTAGTAGGGGATTCGTCATTGCGAGCAGCAAAACGCAGAGCGAACCGAGTTTAAAACAACCAATACTTACAATCTCCTATAGCGTCTAGCGCACTTACCTTTTTTGCCTTCACTAACTTGTGTTTCAAACTGACAGCATTTATCATGCACGCTATTAAGCTGGGATTTTCCATTATGTCTTATCTTCCAGCTATCACTTAAAGTCTGGTTATTTGAGTTAATATCCTTGGTGATGTTTCTCTCAGTTTCTGTTACTTCATCATTTACAATCGATGGCTGGATATCATCGTCATTGGCATTGCCAAGTTCCTCCGCGTCAAATTCCGCATTATCAACTTCATCAACGCCATTCGCATCGTTTTCGGCAAGATTTGAATCTTCGACAAAGCTATGTACATCTCTCACAATTAAATCGTGTAAATCTTCACTGTCGTTGTATTTGTAACTGGATTTTTCGCTGTCTAAACTTAGCGATTTTGACGTCATGTTGGCCTTCCTGACGTCGGCGATAACTTGCGAGGAAGAATTGCGTCGGTTTACGTACAAGTTCGTCATTCTACCAACAGCACGAATCGCGTTGCCAGTTTTCTGTTAATGCAAAAGCACACGCATGCGAAAAACTAAGCGGAACACCACAACTCGCTATACTCACTTGCCACTTTCTTCTGATGATAAACTTCTTCAACTTTTCTTTGCAGAGAACTACAGTCGTTTGATGCCTTTCCGGATCTAACCAAGTGTGCTTAAGACACTCTTCAGCCGACAGTCGATTTCTAAACAAACATTCAACTAAAAACGAACGGCGGGATCAGTTACTCACTCTTTCTTTTTCACAAGTAAGGCCCCAATAAAATCTCTGGCATTTTGACTGACGGTATCAAAAGCTTCGTCGTTAAAGTCGTAGTCGGCCCTCGTGATGTTGGCGAACGTTTCCGCGTCATTGTCGCCCATAAACGGCGATAGTCCAGATAACCTGGAAAAGGTCTTGAGCGAATTTCAGCAACACAATGGCACTTACAGAACGTAGCAAATGATCCCAATAGACCACATGTCAGAATTCGTTCCGATCGGCTCATAATTTATGATTTCGGGCGAGACAAATTCCGGAGTTCCAAATAGGACTCGAATCGGAATTTGAGGATTCAGTCTTTGCGCCAGTCCGAAATCGATTATCTTAATCTCGTGCGATGTTCTCGTGCTGCACATGATGTTTTCGGGTTTCAAGTCTAGATGTACGATGTTTTGTTGGTGCATATAAGCGACGCCTTCGCAAATTTGCCGCATGAATAGTATACAGTCGCGTTCTGTGAGGGTGAAGTCGTCAGCTACAACTCGCTCAAAAAGCTCACCCCCTGAAATGCTACAAACGACTTTAAAGTGGTCCTTAAACTCGAAAGTCACTTACTATTCCATCAGTAATACCATCTCTCTTTGACTTTGGTACGCTGCTAAAAGTTGAAGTAGTTTGGGATGTCGAATTAAATTCATAATGTCGATCTCATCTTGAACCTTTTTCTTATCTTTGGCTGTTCTGCAACGTACAATTTTCGCTGCCGAGTGACAACCGGTTGTTTTATGAGCAACTTTGTGAACGACACCATATCTTCCTTTTCCAATTTCTTCTAAAATCTCGTAAGTGGAATGGAAGAGCGTGTGAGGTTCGAATGCAACAACTGCAGTATCAACTGATCGAATTTGATCCGATATTGGGCTGGGTAGGCTTGGACCATGAACGTTGATTGCACGTACACGGAACGTGTACCACGAATCCGATTCAAGTCCATTCAGAGTATAATTAAAGGTATGACAATTGTCTGCTGCCGTAATCCAATCATTGTCCCCATTTTTATTGTACTCGAGCGCGTAACCAGTGATAATGCTACCGCCGTCGTACGGCGAACTACTCCACGTTATCACTGCACAATCTGCCTCTGCGACAACATTGGGTTTGCCTTGTGGCGGATCTGGAGGTCCTAGATAAACGAATGATTTAGTAGGGTGAGTGTTAAGTTTGACGGTACCTTCGACAGAAAGTGATGCGTACAGGATATCGGAACCGTAACTATTCTCGACACGGACTCCATATTTTCCACTGTCGTGCGTTGTTATATTTTCAAGAAGTAAACACGTCATCCCATCTCCTGAGGTAATCCAAACGCGGTCACTGTTCGTCAGTATCTTGCCCTGAAAACAATGCTAGGTATATTCTGAGATGCCCCAACCTTAGCAACGTCCTGTGAATATGATTGTCGATACGAAGCACTCTATACATCATTTTTTTTTATTTTATTTTATTTTATTTTATTATCCCTCTCTTGACAATCATGTTAGTTACACAAGCTTCCAACCGAAATGTGGGGGGATTACAGAAAAGGGAAAGAGAGCGAAGATAAGACCGATGGAATTTCTCGGAAGACCACATGTGTTTACCATTTCGAACACCTGCAGTCCAGTTTTTTTTTCCTAGAAATGCGTGAAATGCAGGGAATGGGCGGTTTTCGGGTGGTTTTTAGGGGTGTTAGGAGATCAAGTTACCGCGTCGCTTGGGATAGTCAATAAATACGATTTAACATGTGTGTTCATGGTCTTTTTCTTGTAACCGGCTTAAGTGTAAAGTACGGCTTATCTTGAAATATTTTGTTATACCTTAATCATTGCTGTGTGCTTTTGCTTTTTATATCAGGTGAGGTATTTGCTTTATTCAATTAATCTATAAATGTGTGTAACTTGAATGCAGATTGTAACCCTTTACTTATGTACTTACTGGATTCAATCACTTGTACCTCTTAATGTGTAACCTTTGTTGGTATTGGCAATCATGTTTCATTGTCGGTAGGGCTGTATCTGTGCAGTACATACTTGCATGTGTACATATTTAATTTGTGTATTGTGCTTTTTAGTGACTCTCGATTATTTCATTGCATTTCATTATATTTACTTATTTGGGACTGTGAGTAATCAAGAGGGAAGTGTGCTTGTTTAGAGGGGATCGAGCTATTCAAGTTTATACGACCTTGGTGAACCTAACACTAACATTTTCACTCGTCCCAAACCCAACAACTTTAGCCCAGGACTACAGGGTCTCCACTGGTCTTGGGTACTCCTCCCGCCCGGCGAGGTATATTTGACATCTCTTAGTTTTGTCCGATGTATGCGTTGTAATACCTGGGGAATCGCTCGATCCCATTTTGATTACTCATAGCGTGTTTGTAGTAGTTCCCCGGTTTCGAGAGGGCTCAAAAGTGCTGTACATTGGATGTTGTTCATTATAGGACTACTCCGAATTACGTTTTCCTGCAGTTTTCCTAATTCGTAAGGTAAATGCCGGAGTAGTATAGAACCACTTAAGACCCTCTGCAGGGGCACCGTTTTGGTATTAGCTTCAATATAAACTTAATCAACTATTGCTTTTGGT